CCCACACAACTCGGAACGCTTACTGCTCCCTTTAATGATTTATAATAGATAAAATAGCACAATCTCCAATCCCCGCACAACCCGGTGTGCTTACTGGTCCATTTATTTATTTTATATAAAATTAAATGATATCGCAAGCGCCAATTTCCAAACAACTCGGAGCGCTTACTGGTCCATTTATTTATTTATAACAAAATAGATAAAATAGCACAAGCGCTGATCGTCACACAAACGGGAGCGCTTACTAGTCCCGTTATATGTTTATTATAAATAAAATTGCTCAAGTGTTAATCCCCACACGACTCGAAACGCTTACTGGTCTTTTTATTTATTTTGTAATAAATTAAGTTACAAGACAAGCGCCAATCCCTACACAACCCGGGGCGCTTACGGGCCGCTTTGTTTATTAATTAAATAAATAAAATAACACAAGCGCCAATCACCACACAACCCGAGGCGTTAACTGGCCGCTTTGTTTTTTATTAAGTGAATAAAATAACACAAGCCCCAATCACCACAAAACCCGAGGCACTTACTTGCCGCTATGGTTATTAATTAAAAAACATAATATAACACAAGCGCCAATCATCACACATCCAAAGGCACTTACTGGCCGCTTTGTTTATTGATTAAGTAAATAAAATAACGCAAGCACCAATCACTACGAAACCTGAGGCGCTTACTTGCCGCTTTGTTTATTGATTAAAAAAAGTAAGATAACAAAAGTACCAATTACCACACAACCCGGGGCGCTTACTGGATGCTTTGTTTATTAATTACATAAGGGTAATAACACAAGCGTTATTTACCACACAACCGGGAGTGCTTACTGGCCCAGGCGTTTATCAATTAAATAAATAAAATAACACAAGCACCAATCCTCACTCGACTCGGAGCGCATACTGGCCACTTTGTTTATTAATTAAATGAATAAAATAACACAAGCNTTCGTATGTACGGTTGCTAGTACATCTTCATTCTCATGCTGTTATGAACAACTTATGTGGTTTTAAAACTGTAATTTAACTTAGTTATGAGTGGATGTATGTGACACATAATATTCTTGCATCATTATTTAACGTGTTTGAAAATTTGTAGAATATTAAGGATACCACACGATCACATTAAGATTGGTATAGTCCCAAACAAGAATTACGATGCACCTTAGCTTTTAAATAAAGAGGATGAAAATTCTTTTTAATGCAGTTAAAAACTACAAAACTGTCGGATGTTAGTCTGAGCAAAGCATTGTTTGTCTTAACGCCAACGTTTTCAAACTCACTGCATTAACAGAAAAACACAACAATTTTTGTAAATTACATTGCAGGGCCACTGTTTACACATATTTTTGCTACTTAATTCATAAGATAAATGTAAATAAGACAGTATAAATAATTTTAAAACATTAAATAGTTACTTACGTCTATATTATTGTGACTATCGTTACAGACTGCTGGTCAACTAGGGGAAATAACAGAAGTATCAAACATGTATGTATTAGCATACAGAAATTGAGACTGTAAATGTATACGCTTCTTACAAATACAGATAACATATATACATATCTGTAATGTATAATGAAAAAAGATTTTTTCTCAGATCTTCATATATGTTGTCAAGAAATAACGTGTCCTTTTTTTAATACTTGTGTATTTAGTAAAGTGTGTGTACAATATTTATGATCTTGTTTTTTTTTTGGCTATTTAGTTTATGGTCTAGAATTTTGGTTTAAAAAAAATTAAAGTGATTGTTTAATTTTTTCATGTGTGAAGCGACAAATTAATCCATCTTTGTACTTTTGTGTTCATTCAGGCGTATTCCAATGCTTTCTTTGTCTGACCTACGTATAATGCAGTGGAAGAATCACAAGCATATAATACATGACGTTAGTTTAATTGAGTTCATCAATCTCATTATTCCCAAGAATAATAGCAATGTACAATTAATTTTGAATAACAGAATAAATTGTATATTTAATTTTTCTTAAGTTCTTATACAAAATTTGAAGAAAAATGGGTTGTAAGAAATAGAAGTTTTTATTTTAGCACGTAGATTGTTATTTAGTGAGTTATTATTAATAGTATAAGTATTTTTCACTTGATGAAGTATTTTCTTGAGGTTTTTTTGTATGAAAAGCTTAGTGTAGTCATTATCGCGCAAAATTCTTTGAGTCATAAGGATTTTCTCCCTTTGATAGGATTCATCAGACAAAAAAATAGCTTGATCAAAAAAAAACCGTACACCGCATTAATTTTAAAAGATCGAGGGTGGTTTAAATTTGAATTAATTACACAACTACACAATTGGATAAAATTAGCTAACCATACCAGTTTATGGTTATTTTCAAGTTCTTAGCTGTAATTATAATGTCTAAAAAGTTTCTAGAGTTGTTTTCCTTTACTTTGCTTGTGAATTTTAAGTGATTGACTTGTTTCCCAGATCTCTAAAAATAAGTATGCCTGATTCTTATGTACACATGTGAGAGTATTGTCAGCGTATCTTTTATACATAAAAGAAACTTAATTAAGACTTCCTTTTAACAAGCACAGGGGTTCTGTATCAAGACCTTCTAAAAGTAAATCAGGAAATAGTATAAAGACAGGAGAACACATTGGGCACCCAAAAATCTGTTGATAAAATTTTTTATAAGAAGTAAAGATAACATAATTGAAGAAAAGTTTTGTACACTCCATGATTTTATCATAGGAAATTTTCGATAATCTGTGGATTGGCATGTATCACTTTTATAAACTGGTAATGACTGATTCTTACGAAATGTCGATGAATAGAGAAATAATATCTTAAGAAAGCAAAATATAATTTTTCGGTATTTTGAGATTTTTAATTTGTTTAATATGATCAACGCTATTATTCAAATGTGAAAAAATTCATCAAACAGTTTAGAAAGAGAATTTTAGAGAGAATGAGGTGTGTGTGTGGGCAGTTGAATTAGTCCATTAAGTAATAGATCTAAATGAAAAAAAGGCTTATGTAATTTTGGCAACCCATAACATCTAGATGAATTTGCATTAGCTTGCGTTAGTTGACAGTTGTAATATTTGTATTGTACAGATTCGCTATTGCTCACGTTCATAAAAAGTTTATAAACTTCTTCTATTGTCTTTTAACGCCCTAGACTTTTCGAAAAAATGTGCATTTATTCTTCTACTTATTATAGTATAAGTTATAATCCCTTTAGTTAAAAATTTTTTTAACATTATTTTACCTAGTTAATAGAATTATTGTTTAGTTTCATGAACAAGTATGTTAGCAAGATTACTGTAAATAATAGCATAAACATCTACTTTAAAAACAAGATTGATTTTAAAATTTATTGACTGACTAAATAAACTGAGCCATTTACTTAAAAGTTATTTCTGTATGATTCTTGAAAAATGTAATAACTCGAAATTCAAAACTCAGTCATTACTGATAAAAAAATGGTCTCAAGCTATAACTGTTATGCTTAAGTTATGTACATGACAAAATCTGTTGTATAAAATGTATAACTAACTTCTCATGATTTTTATTTACTGCAGTTGCAGCAAAAGGGATTCGTATGTCGAGAAGCTAACAGTGAATGCGATCTACCAGAAACATGTTCGGGTGACGTAGGTCACTGTCCTCAAGATGTATACAAAAAGAATGGATATCCGTGCGCCAACAAAGATGGTTTTTGTTTTAATGGGTTTTGTCCTACATTAAACGTTCAATGTGAACAAATTTGGGGTTATGGAGGTATTTCTGCTGATAATCAATGCTTTGAACAGTTCAATTCAAAGGGATCCATCAATGGTCATTGTGGCACTGACATTTCAGGTCATTTTATTAAATGTAAGCCAGAGTAAGTACAATGCCAGCAATTAACTTAAATAGTTTTATGCACATTAATAATAAATAAATCTGAAAATAACACTTGCTTTGATAATGTGAAGTAGTTTCAATTTCACTATAAGTTGTATCGTTTTTAGTTAACCTAATTTTTATGACAAGTCGTACATTGACTTTTCAAAAAAGTCAGTAAATAAACTGTGATATTTCGTATGTACGGTTGCTAGTACATCTTCATTCTCATGCTGTTATGAACAACTTATGTGGTTTTAAAACTGTAATTTAACTTAGTTATGAGTGGATGTATGTGACACATAATATTCTTGCATCATTATTTAACGTGTTTGAAAATTTGTAGAATATTAAGGATACCACACGATCACATTAAGATTGGTATAGTCCCAAACAAGAATTACGATGCACCTTAGCTTTTAAATAAAGAGGATGAAAATTCTTTTTAATGCAGTTAAAAACTACAAAACTGTCGGATGTTAGTCTGAGCAAAGCATTGTTTGTCTTAACGCCAACGTTTTCAAACTCACTGCATTAACAGAAAAACACAACAATTTTTGTAAATTACATTGCAGGGCCACTGTTTACACATATTTTTGCTACTTAATTCATAAGATAAATGTAAATAAGACAGTATAAATAATTTTAAAACATTAAATAGTTACTTACGTCTATATTATTGTGACTATCGTTACAGACTGCTGGTCAACTAGGGGAAATAACAGAAGTATCAAACATGTATGTATTAGCATACAGAAATTGAGACTGTAAATGTATACGCTTCTTACAAATACAGATAACATATATACATATCTGTAATGTATAATGAAAAAAGATTTTTTCTCAGATCTTCATATATGTTGTCAAGAAATAACGTGTCCTTTTTTTAATACTTGTGTATTTAGTAAAGTGTGTGTACAATATTTATGATCTTGTTTTTTTTTTGGCTATTTAGTTTATGGTCTAGAATTTTGGTTTAAAAAAAATTAAAGTGATTGTTTAATTTTTTCATGTGTGAAGCGACAAATTAATCCATCTTTGTACTTTTGTGTTCATTCAGGCGTATTCCAATGCTTTCTTTGTCTGACCTACGTATAATGCAGTGGAAGAATCACAAGCATATAATACATGACGTTAGTTTAATTGAGTTCATCAATCTCATTATTCCCAAGAATAATAGCAATGTACAATTAATTTTGAATAACAGAATAAATTGTATATTTAATTTTTCTTAAGTTCTTATACAAAATTTGAAGAAAAATGGGTTGTAAGAAATAGAAGTTTTTATTTTAGCACGTAGATTGTTATTTAGTGAGTTATTATTAATAGTATAAGTATTTTTCACTTGATGAAGTATTTTCTTGAGGTTTTTTTGTATGAAAAGCTTAGTGTAGTCATTATCGCGCAAAATTCTTTGAGTCATAAGGATTTTCTCCCTTTGATAGGATTCATCAGACAAAAAAATAGCTTGATCAAAAAAAAACCGTACACCGCATTAATTTTAAAAGATCGAGGGTGGTTTAAATTTGAATTAATTACACAACTACACAATTGGATAAAATTAGCTAACCATACCAGTTTATGGTTATTTTCAAGTTCTTAGCTGTAATTATAATGTCTAAACACGAATGCCCATTACCAAACTTTAAAGAGCACTTTCTAGTTACGCTTGACTTTCCTTAATATTTGATGCTTTTTTAATATTTATTACATTAAAAAACGTAGCGACCAGTTAGCACCCCGGTTTGTGTGGTGATTGGTACTTGCGTTAATTATTTTTTTAAATAGTAATCAAAGCGGCCAGTAAGTGCTCCGGGTTGTGTGGGGATTGGTGCTTGCGTTATTGTTTAACGTATTATATCACTCATTAAAGTTTGTGATACTGCTTTTAGGCGCATTGGGTTATTGGGTTATATAGCTTAGGATTAATCTGTTATGTTATGGTGTATGAAATGTTGTCGAGTTATCTGGGGTTTTGCGTCTTGCTTCATATTGCCAATTTGAATTTCCCGCAAGTTCGGCAGTCACTTTTGAGAGCGCTGGAGACACCACTGACAGTTGCGTAGATCTACATAATCTACGAAAATGTTAATATTTAGACAAGTGCTCAACACAATTATAAAGCAAGAAAAATTTTTTCCGAATTATGTTTAATGTTGATAGAATGTTAATTTTATTTAACGAAACATGTTTTAAATTTCTTTCCCTATTGTTGCATCTAGTAACGCTTTTTATACTTACAACTTACACTTCATAAAAAATAAAATAATGAAAGCACTAATCCTTACCCAACCCAAAGTGCCTACTTGCCACTTTGATAATGAAAATGATAAATAAAATAACACAAGCGCCAATCCCCACACAACCCAAAGCGCTTACTGGCCGCTTTGTTTATTAATTAAATAAATAAAATATCACAAGCACCAATCCCCACACAACCCGAAGCGCTTACTGGCCGCTTTGTTTATTAATTAAATAAATAAAATAACACAAGCGCCAATCACCACACAACCCGAGGCGCTTACTGGCCACTTCGTTTATTAATTAAATAAATAAAATATCACAAGCACTGATTACCACAAAACCTAAGGAGCCTACAGGCATGTCTGTTAATTAATTAAAAAAACTAAAATGACACAAGCGCCGATCACTACACCACCTGGGGCGCTAACGTGCTGTTTTGTTTAATAATTGAATAACAGAAATAACTCAAGTGCCAATCATTACACAACCCGCGCAAATTTATTTTGCTTTGTTAATTAGTATAATAAACAAAAAAACAGAAAAACCAATTCTAACTCAACCCAAAGTGCCTACTTGCCACTTTGATAATGAAAATGATAAATAAAATAACACAAGCGCCATTCACTACACAACACAAAGCGCTTACTAGCGGCTTTGTTTATCAATTAAATAAATAAAATAAAATAAGCGCCAACCACCACACAACCTAGGGCGCTCACTGGCCACTTTGTTCATTAATTAAATAAATAATTCAAGCAAGTACTTATCACCACGCAACCCAGAGNCTTCTTGCACTTATCTATTTATTCTTTTTTTGTTACTATTAAATTGAATAGATAGTTGTATGTACAATTTTTTGAACTTCTTGAAAGTTTTCATAATTGCAACAAAAAAGTTTTTATACTGTATAAATACAATAACTTATTTTTATTGCGTTTTCCACTTTCACGTTTTTTCCTCTGTAATTGGAGTGATTTTTTGACTTGAGGACGTTCTTTACATTGCTACTGGAAGATGAGTCCAGCTTAAAATTCAGAGAGGTGGAAGGAGCGCAAATTTATGCAGCAACAGAGGAAATTATTTTTTTTATATGGATATACTTACATACACGCTTTTACGCATACTTTACTTCTTTTTTCTTGTGTTAACAGTAAAAAAAAGATTATCGATCTATTAAAAAATAAAATAGGTTTGTTTAAAAGTAATCTTTCATGGAAACAAAAATTGAGAAGTTCGTACGGATTTTATAAATGCAATTTTAAGTGATTTTTTTATAAGGTTACATGTTGAATTGCAACTTTTTAAAATTAAACTTATGAAAAAACGTGCATTTGACCAATCTGCAGTTTCTTTGAAGTATTCCTTAGCTTAGTGTACTTTTAATGCTTATGTAACATCTATCAAGAACATCTATATGTGATGAACATCCCAAAGAGACATTTGCTGGCATGTGCTACTTTGCTATTGAAGAAAGTGGTACTATACGATGGTTTGTCTTAATTTTTGAGGTACGACTATATTTTAGGTATTAAATATGGACTAGAAATAAGTGTGTCAGGATATGTTACAAACGTGAGCATGACGTTATAGATGTTATCAGCGTAGGCAGTAGGAAGTTGTTTTTAGATCATCGAAAGAGTCGATGTAACTGCATAGTCTTGTACTGACCAGCTTCCATATTGTTAATAATGTATTGTGCCATACTTTACTGTTTGTAATAATGAAATGTTAAAATATTGATCAAAACCACACCCAACTAAGGAAGGTATACTCATTTCAACAATAATTGTACCACCTTTGTACACAATTAAGTTTTATAGAAGGTATATTTATATTTATAATTATATTATCTGCCACATATCTTATATAATTATAACTTCTTACTTGGGTACCTAAGTACCCAATGGTTTCAAATAAGTATTTGTCATACTCCTGATTATGTACATCTTACTACAATAGAGTAGACCTTTCACAGCAATTCCGGACCTAAGCATAAGGCTCACATAGACTAAGCAGTGCTAAGCAAGGCTATCTCCATCTGTACCACAGACGATCGTAGAACTTAGAACTTAATGCCTTTTTGAGAAGAGCTATGAGCTCTTACATAAGGCATATGTTTCTGTCATACATTTAGTAATGGCACGCCTATTAAATTTAATAATAGTTGAGGCTTGGCAATAAACTTATATACGAATAAGAAAAACTAAATATCATTAGACCTCTACCCTTGCAAACTCTTACTTTTTTACCAACAAAGACCCATAGTTATTTTTTCAAAAAGCACTTAAGTATAAAACATGATTTAAAAAAAACACCAAGTCGCACTCAACTTTCTGAATAAAATATCTTTAGTCATAGTTTACACAAAAAAATAAGAAAAATTACAGTTCATAAAATGTTATTCTTTGAAGCAAATCCCTACTACTCTTATGTAATGCTGTAAAAAAAGAAAGAATTTATAAAAGTATTAGATTGTGTCTATTCTCCTGACTAAGGTTATAAGGACATAAAACAAAATGTTTGGTTAAAGTTTATGGTTATTTTCAAGTTCTTAGCTGTAATTATAATGTCTAAAAAGTTTCTAGAGTTGTTTTCCTTTACTTTGCTTGTGAATTTTAAGTGATTGACTTGTTTCCCAGATCTCTAAAAATAAGTATGCCTGATTCTTATGTACACATGTGAGAGTATTGTCAGCGTATCTTTTATACATAAAAGAAACTTAATTAAGACTTCCTTTTAACAAGCACAGGGGTTCTGTATCAAGACCTTCTAAAAGTAAATCAGGAAATAGTATAAAGACAGGAGAACACATTGGGCACCCAAAAATCTGTTGATAAAATTTTTTATAAGAAGTAAAGATAACATAATTGAAGAAAAGTTTTGTACACTCCATGATTTTATCATAGGAAATTTTCGATAATCTGTGGATTGGCATGTATCACTTTTATAAACTGGTAATGACTGATTCTTACGAAATGTCGATGAATAGAGAAATAATATCTTAAGAAAGCAAAATATAATTTTTCGGTATTTTGAGATTTTTAATTTGTTTAATATGATCAACGCTATTATTCAAATGTGAAAAAATTCATCAAACAGTTTAGAAAGAGAATTTTAGAGAGAATGAGGTGTGTGTGTGGGCAGTTGAATTAGTCCATTAAGTAATAGATCT